CTGCCAGTCTGCTTTTCAGTTAGATTCTTTTTATAGTTTGTTCTTGAATGTCCCTAAAGATATTTGAGAGTCCACTTTTTATAAATGTTTATGCTTGTCTATAGGTATACTAACAAAAACAGACTTTATGCAAAATCTTATGATCCAGAAATTCTCCCCCAGCCTGAATGATACCTGTACACGCTTCCATATTTATTTCATGCAAATGGCAAATGTCCAAAAGAAGAAAAGCAAATGTCATTGGGCCAGAAGGAAGTTCCAGGTCAGTCTAACCTTAGTTCATAGTACTGGTTACAGAGCAAATACTCCCAAAAGTAGTTTTGAAGCAGGTGAAGGACAACCAAGGTCATTGGGAAAGCCGGCATGGATTTATGAAGGGCAAATCATTGTGAACGACCTCATTACTTTCTGTGACAAGGTGACCAGTGCTGTTGACAAGGGATGGAGGGTGGATGTTGTACACCTTGATTTTAGCAAGGACTCCAACACTGTGTCCCATAGTGTGTTTATCATTAAATCAATGAGATAGGGACTGGATAAGTGAAACATAATGTGGCTGGGCAGCTGGGATGAAAGAATCAATCAATGGTGCAAAGTCCATCTGGCAGTCAGTACGTAGTGGTCTCTCTCAGGGATCAGTATTGGGATCAGTGCTGTTAATGTGTGATTAATCATCTGTGCGATGGGACTGAGTGCATCCTCAGGAGGTTTGTGGACAACAGCAAACTGGGGGGAGTGGTGAATAATGGTGCAGGGCAGGACTCCTACTCAGAGGGACCTGGACAGGCTGGAGAAAGGCACTGGCAGGAACCTCATGAAGTTCAACAAAGGCAAGAGCAAAGTCCTGTACCTGCAACAGAATAACCCCGTGGGACAAGACAGCCTGGACACTATCCAGATAAAAAGTGAGATAAAAAGATGTCTTGTGGGACAAGACAGCCTGGACATAGAGCACATGATGTACAATGAGGGGTTAAGGGAACTAGGTTTGATTCAGGCTGGAGAAGGAAATGCAGAGGAGAATGTTACTGCTGCCTACAACTGCTATCTCTGAGGACACGGAGATGGAGCCATACTCCTCTCAGAGGTGTGTAACAACAGGCCGAGAGGCAGCAAACACATTTTGGAACCTTGGAAATTGTGCTTAGATAAAAAGGATGTTTTCAGTGGGTTTGTTTGTTTTCAAGCCATGAGCGTTGTTAAGTAGTGGAACAGGTTGTCTGGAGAGATTCGACAATCTTGAAGGTGTGCAAGACTGCCCTCCCACTCAGGTCCCCGAGTGACCCGATCTAGCTAGAGCTGCTTGGAGTAGGAGGTTGGACTAGATGATCTCCAGAGGTCTTTTCCAGCCCAAGGAATTCTATGATTCTATGCTGATGCCATGCAGAGCGATGCTCACTGTGGAAGCACGATCCTTCAGGCTTGATTCAAACAGAGACTCTGAATTTAGGGAATTGGTTCATGAGGCATCCGCAAAGTGATATTTTTGTGTGTGTGTGTGTGAATTTTGTGAATCTCATTGCAATTCAAACCAACCAACCAAAAATCCTGAGAGACTTACTGTATTCTCCTAAGTATTCTTAAGGGATATTTGTGTGTCCACACATTTACAACCCAGTCCCTCAGGTTTGCTCCCTTGAGACATCTCCCTTCCTTCCCTTGTTCTGATGAGGCATAAGTTTTATTTTCCAGTTGAGTGGCTCTGAGAGGTCAGGGGCAAATAAAGGACCAAAGGAGAAGTACAGAATACATTTAGATGAAGGGAACTGGGGCATTCCCAGCAGAATAAGGGTGGATAAAATCATGCTCTGGCTAATGCTGCTGCTTTATAGATGCTATAGAATGTGGAGAAAAATGAATACAAGTACACCTCAGAGAAGAACATCTACAGTTGAATATCCTTCCCAAAGCCTTTGTTTTCTTTTTTTTTTCCTGCTTAATTTATACCTAAGTGCTTGTACAGTTTAGAATATGTAAATAGTCTTTAGAGTGGAAACAAAGTAGAGATTTTTTAAAGCTGTTTATTCTCTATCCTTTACCCTGTTCTATTTTGAAGTTTGACGTTAGTATCTTTTGAAAGGGAGCATATGGCATTTCTAATTAAGGCCTGTGATTTTCTGACATATAACTGAATAATACATTCAAAATACTGTTAAGCATTCCAGATGAAAGAATTTTCAGGGATGAAGCACTATAGCTGTGTGATATATCTTGCTGGAACATGTATGCTGTGTAACACTGATCTCCTTAAGAACTTCGAAGAATTTTGCATAGAATACCAGTGTAGTGAGAAAAGAAGGGGTTTGTTTCGTTTGTCTGCTGACTGATCTCCTTAAGAACTTCGAAGAATTTTACATAGAATACCAGTGCAGTGAGAAAAGGGGTTTGTTTTGTGTGTCTGCTATTAGTATTCCTTGGCAAGCTCAGGTTTGGATCAGGTAACAACTAGCGTGCTTTATTCCTGAAAGTATTCAGTGTAGCTTCATTTTTAAACGTTTTGGACCAAGTGGGGGATTTGATTAATCAGATTTTGTTTCAGACTGCAAGATTTGTTTGTGTATATTTTAAGCAGTAGCTCTTGTAGAGATGCACTGTAGTTCTTCAGTCTCTCCAAAGTAATTCAAGTGTCTCCTTTCAGAATTCTGTGCAAAATTGTCTTCCTTTAATGTAGAATATGTGAAACCTCTCTGAAATTGTGGTTTACAATAAACTTCTGGTGTAAGCCAGGTTTCTTGAGATTCTTAATATGGACCAGTATCATTAACATGTATCTTGTATCTCTGAACAGCCAATGTGCTCGATCTAGAGAAGGTTTCCTCAATTTTTTTTCCCCTTGTTTCCGTGGGAAGTATAAGGGCTGCATTTATAATTGATCTCTTTGAATCCAGTTAGGCAAATCAGGAGAGAATATAAAGAATGTAATGCATTTAATTGCTTTAACTTTTTAAAAAATATTACAAAGTCTAGGTGGTAAGCTAGGAGATTTGGCTCTACAACATTTTTTGTAATTTTAAAATGAAAGTTAAGTTGATTCTTCAAATATATTCCATCCACTGGAACTTAAAGGGTTTCTTTGGTTACTATGAAACTTTTTATAGTGATATCAAATTTTAGATAAATAATACATTTCGGGTTTTTTTGAACTTTATTTTTCCATCTTTAGATCTAGTGAATGCACGCACAAGATTGGGAAACCTTAAAACTGTGGATGTATGATGAGTGTGGGTGGGTTTGGCTTTGGGTTTTTTTGGTTGTTTTTTTTTAAATTCTGAGGGGAAGTATTTAAATGCAGGTTGGTCTTGTATTTTGAGGCCTGTAAAGCTGTACAAACAGGTTCCAAGCTAAAGGGTTTCACTAATCTAATGTTCAATTTGAGGACAAAGAGTCTTCTGTTATTTTGAGGCCTGTAAAGCTGTACAAACAGATTCCAAGCTAAAGGGTTTCACTAATGTAATGTTCAATTTGAAGGACAAAGAGTTTTCTGATATGCTTCTCTCTTAGGGCAGCATTTTTGCTGTTTCCTTGAAATACAGTATATGCTGTCTTTGTCCTCACAGTTCATTGTCAAATTCAAGCACTGATGATATTTTTAGTGATGACTTGTATTTGACAATTGCTGAGACTAAAAATTAGAAACGTGTAATTGAAGTGAGAATGACAAGGATGAAGACTTAAGAGGATAATTGTACAAGTACTGAAGATCCTCCTCTACCTGAACTACTACTGTTGTGTACCTAAATTTGGAGGTGAAGTGTTTAATATACCTGAGGAACTAAAGATACTAGGTCAGCAACCAGATGTGATTTAGCTGTGTTGAAGAGAGTATCTAAGGGATCGAAGGGATTTGGGAGTAGAAGTAGCTTTAGTCCTCCTTTTTTGTTTTATTTTAGCTTCTTGAGACAGTCCAGTTCATAGGAAAGAGTGACCTTGGAGGCCCTCTAACATATAAACTGTCCATAGCGTCAGAGGCCTCTGAGGATAAAGGGGCCATTGCAGTGTTTCATAGGAAAGATGCTGAGAAACTGGAGCCCTGTCAATGTTTGTGGTGTTGAAATTGTATTCATGTTTAATTTTCAGCAGTATTTTATTCAGATAAAACTTGTAAAAGTCCAAATAACTGCAAAACCATGTTCACGTAAGGAGCTACACTAAAGAGTTAGACTTTTCAACTTACTGTGGACAGCTGCATAGACCCGTAAATTACCCACTTGTAAACTGGATGGTTACTTGGGTTGGGTGGTTATTTGAGCACAGCATCTCTGGCTCACATCATCCCTTTTGGTTTTGTGTATTAGTCGTGTAATGACACATACTCTCCATAAGTGTTTTATTCTTAATACTTAGAAGGTTTCTTTTCCTTTTGAAGCATTCTTTTCTGTTTCATGCAATAAGACCTTTAATGTCATAGCGGTGTTTTTACTGCTCATCCATGACCTTGCTTCATAAAAGAAATAAATTATTTTATGGCTCTGAGTGTGATTCTGAGTGAGATCAGAGTACCCCATAAGAGCAGAATGGCATGTAAGGGATGCAGTGTAATGAAGTAGTATTATCTATTGTGTTTTAAAAGAGAGTTCTCTTGTGTCAAGTCTGGAGTGGATGTGACTTTTAGATAATACTGCATTGTGGAATTTCATTAAATGGATAGTTTCTCACATAATGCTTTTCTAGATCCCAGCCTTTTTTCCTGTAACAGAGCTGTGAATTATTCCCTAGTCTTATTTTCTTAAACTTTATGGAAACTTTATTAATGCACCTGTTTTGTCAAGTCTGCTAAACTTTCTTTACGGTTCCACTAATATTTTCTGTGTCTTTTTGTGGTTTTAAAACTGGTATGTGAGAAGAATTTGTCTAAGACCTATATGTATGCATCTCTAATGTCTGTTCTCTTTGGTAAATCTGTGCATGCTTTTGTTTTCTTGTTTGTCTTTTTTTTCTTTTTTCTTTTTTTCTTTTCTTTCTTTTTTTTTCCTTTTCTTTTTTTTTTTTTTTTTTTGCAGAGAGTGATAATGAACTCTCCAGTGGCACTGGTGATGTGTCAAAGGATTGTCCTGAGAAGATTTTGTATTCCTGGGGAGAATTACTGGGCAGATGGTAATGCTTCATTTCTTCAATTTAGATTTTATATAGTAACCTTTTCTTTGTTTTATAAAACTATATGCTCTTGAGCAGGACATTTGAAATTCTTTAGCTTACATGGTTTAAAAACTAAAATGGAAACCACGTTGAAGTGTGTTTGTTTTTTTTTTAAAACCTAATTTAAAAGGGGCTGGTAAATCCTCTTTCTTTTAACTTGCAGTTATTTGACGTGTCTCCCACTGTGTCTGACAGTGTCATATTTTGTTCAGTGTTTGAGAATGTCTGTGTATGCTCATGCTGCATGTGTCAGTCTTCAGATGCAGAACTTTCTGGCCACCTGTGGTCCTTGGGACTGGACATTGAGGTCTCATGAAACTCAGTGCCTCTTAGTGCACTTAGAAAAGACAGAGCAACTCCAGTTTGTCCTATCGAAGCCATTTGTGATAGCTGACGTAGTTTAATTGATTGGTTTAGAAGCACTCTTTTTTTTCCCCCTGTGTCAGTCTTCAGATGCAGAACTTTCTGGCCACCTGTGGTCCTTGGGACTGGACATTGAGGTCTCATGAAACTCAGTGCCTCTTAGTGCACTTAGAAAAGACAGAGCAACTCCAGTTTGTCCTATCGAAGCCATTTGTGCTAGCTGACATACGTTTAAATGATTGGTTTAGAAGCACTCTTTATTTTTTTCCCCTTTTTTTTTAATGTGCTATATGTAAGCACTTGAAAAGGAATTCTAGAAAGACTGTTATCCTCACTGAAACTGTTTCTGTTGGACAGTAAAATGAAGAGTATTTGTAAGCCTAGAGTGTGTTCTCAACAGTGTTATTTCTGTGGTTTAATTAAGTACTTCAGCAGCAGCATATACTTTGCCAAGAGAGGAGAAAATCTGTGTATTTGCTGCCTCTGAGAGACCTTATACTATTAGCAAATGCCAGAAGCACTTATTTGCTTTTCCCTTTGTAAGTAACAGCTCCTGCTGCCTGAGACAAAAATAATCAGAGGCCCTTAATCTGGAATTGGCAAAGGTTCCTTTTCGTAACTCCAAAAAGAGAGCTGAAAAGCATTTTAAGGATCTATTTGGGCAATTCTCCCCTTTACTTGGCTACTTTGTAGCTTTGGAGAACCACAGCCTTTTGCTGCTGACCTCATCTTTAATGGAGATCTCATGCAAAGGTTACTAAAGGAGACATCACAAGATTTTATTGAGCTTCATGGAACCCTTCCTTGCAGAACCCTTCCCTCCTGCTTCTTTTTAACTCTTTTGTCATCCAAGCTTCTGGCCTTAATGAAAGATCACAAATATTTAATGGAATGATTGTACAAATATTCTGGCTATGGATCCTGTGAACGATTAAGAAAATACTGAGGAAAAGTGTGGAAGTCAATTGATCCCTATAGATGAGTGGTTTTTCCTCAGTTGAAAAGGCCGTAAACAGATGGGCTCTGGAGCTGTTTAGAACTTTCCAAAGCCTGTTCTAAAGGACATACCAAGAGAGCGTTAATAAATTGATTGCAATTTTACATCTGGCACCTCAAGGCCAATGAGGAAGGCCATCTTGAGTCCTTAAAGAACTGTGTGGCAGGTTTCTGTCAATCTACATTGCATTTTCATTGGAAGATGCTAGTTTTTTAACATTTTTTTAAAATTCATTTATCAGTTGGTTCTTTTAGTTTTAACTTTTGCCATTGAGAAATATCTAGGCTCCTATCCAGCCTGCTGGAATAAAGAACAGCCCACAGCTCATTCTTTCGAGTTTCACATAACCAACTAGTTCCACAAGTTACTCAAACTATTCAATGAGAGAAAACATTTAAGACTTTTGGAGTAAACAGTTTTGAAGTCCTCACATAACTTATAAACTTAACTCAGAATCATTTAGTAGTTAAAACACTTTAGTTAAAATGAGTTAAAAATGGGATGAGAAATGGGAGATTGCAGCCAGCTAGACTAGTAATAGCAAACATTTTATATGGAGTGTCACAAGCAATATTATCTTTTGATATAAATTTAAGTGTATAAAATACTTGAATTCTTGAATAGTGTTATGTTACATTTTAAGAACAAAACTTGGAAAGAGGAACAGATGAAAAATGTTAACAAATTGAAAACTAAAAATAGATTGAAATAAAACCTTCTAGTGATTCAAAAACTGCAGCATATGCTAGTAGAATATGTGTGCACTTGTAAAAAAAATTAAACAAAAATTAACATTTCTACTTGGAGAACTGGTGTGCTAATTTGTTGCTTAGATGAAAAATTTCTTGCACTTTAATTACTTCTTGTCATTTCATTAAAATGTCACTGTAACCTAATGAACTGACTCAGCAGAAACACTGCTCCAAGAGTCTCCTTCACACATATAAACAGGAATAAGAATAGGATAATTTACCAAAAACATGCAGTAAACAGTTGGAAAGTAATTAATATATTTTAATTTATTATATTGTTTACTGCATCCTCAGCATTAAAGTTGTTTTTGCGAGCTGAGCTAGTTTAGCTGAGTACTTAACTATTTCTGATGTGTTCTGTTTTTTTAATAAAAAAGTAGTAATGGTCAACATCAGTCTTTGATCAGAAATATTTGTCAAGTTGGGGCACCATCTATGCTTCGCTGTTATATATCCTCGCTCTTTGATATTTTAAAATTATGTCTTTGAATTTTGTGCAGGAGAATTCAGCACTTTTGTAACAGATTAAATATGTCAGCGTCCGTGAATGATCTATTTTTTTCCCCACGTGTTAAAGGATAAGGCTAGAATAAGACACGCTTTTATTTTATGTTTGTTTCTGTTACAGTTTGGCCAAGCAGGTGTCAGAAAGTGTCTAGGAATGCAAGGTCTCTACACAAAGGAAGAAAAATTGCATATTTGCTCATTATTGTAGAATACAGAGCAAGCCTTATTAGTGATAAAGCCATTTCCCAAATGAAACTGAGAAGCTGGCTCTTAAAGATACAGAGTTATGCTTTACTGCATGGACTACAGTATTACTTTAGTATTAATTTATACTACACTTGCTAAAGTATTACCCGTACCATAAAACTGTCTAAATATGTGACAAACCCAGTAAAATCTGGTGTACTGTAGCATGCTTAATTCTCAACTGCGAAATATGTTCAGTAGTAAAGATGGCATTAGAGCATGGAAAGTGCATCTCTGTTAGTCGTTGCCATAAGCTATTTGTACTGTTTTCTTGGTGTTGCTGAAAATTTCCCTGTTATGTTTCTATGGGAATGTACCTTTTTAGCTGTTTGTTTCATTTTATCTGCTTGCCAAGTCCTAAGGAAGGCCTTCTGTGTTTCTCATGTAACACACGTGATCAAATCTTCATAATAGTCAAACTAACCTGATTTGAAGTGTGCTATGAATGCTTCATTTTCACACAACTTGAGCTTTAAGTTTCTGATGTCTTCACACAACTTGAGCTTTAAGTTTCTGATGTGTTTTATTTATTTATTCCTGAATGTGCATCTCATAATTTTGTAACCGCTTAACCACTGTCTAGTCCTTTTTAATATTTCTGTGTCTATTGATTTTTCTTTCTAGCTTTTTCCCATCACAAGACCATTAGTAAAATGTGACTCTTTGTAAAAAGAGAAAAGGGGCTAGTTGGGCTTTAATTTGACTAATGAATTACAAAGTTTGAAATTACTTGTATTACACTGCACATTTAAAATTTAAAATAATTATTGTGTTTAAAAGAAATAGGGCATTATATAAGCACACCCTCCTTTTTCATTCTCAAGTCATTTGGAAATTTGGTATATCATCCTCAGAGTATAGGAAAAAGAAACTTTTTTAGAGCACCCTTTAAATTTAAACAGTAGTGGTAAACTGTTCACATCTTAATGACCAGTTTCAAAAAATGAGTACTCTAAACATTTACTTAAAATCAGGGGTCAAATTGCAGGTTATTTAATTTAATCACAGCTTGCTAACATTTGGCTAAACTGCCACTCTCACTGTTTTCTTACCAGCAGACTAGAAAAACATAACAATGGTCAAAACAATAACAGAGCAAAGCACTTCCTACATTAGAAAGAATAAAGAGTCAATTCACACAGTCTTCCTGCTGCATTGCTATGAAAATTGCCATAATAAGTCAAAGCGAGATTTAATCTAGATCAGTAAACACTATTATCTCAAAAAGGATTTTTAAACATCTGTGACTGAAAGCTCTGCAATATTGTGCATGTGCAGTCATTTTATCCTAAATGTATGGACTCAGTGACTGGATTGTTTTTGAAAAAACACATCTTTAGTATTCAATCTCTCTGAATACGGCCTTTTCATAGTTCTATCTACTAACTTTTGTAGGATTAATTACACAGTGTAGGAAAATAAGAGAGGTCATCCTGCAATTGTCTTCCTACATTTCTTGGTCTGTGTACAAACAGATAGTAAAAGCCCAGCTCAAACTAACAGGCAGATTTATTTGGAATGGTGGAATTTAGCCAGAGTATATATAAGTGTTCCTGCTTTGTGGGGCTTGCAACATACTCTTGGCATGACTGTAAAACTGGAACTTCAGTCTTTCTGTTAGTACTCTTAAGACTAGCTTATATTTGTTTTCCAAAATTTATTTCTCTATACAGCTTAGGTTATTTTTAATTTCCTTAACTTAAGCTAAACATAAATGTTGAACAAATATTTAAATTGAGTTGTCTGCACAGATGGCATAGGTTTGTCTTTCAATTCAAACTATTCTTCATTAGCCGGGTTAGTTCCATTTCTGAAACTTTATTGTTTTAATTTTCATTAATTTCTCTACACCTAGAGAATTTGTATATCGCTACATTTTGCAAGTGGTTCTTATTGTAAATCCTTGCAGAATTTTTGTTTTCTATGTGACAATTACTAATTAGCATAACAAGTGGAAAAGAAGTTTATGTTGCCAGTGGCTGACTCCACTTTTCAGAATAACAGAAAGTTTGAAAACTTTTAATATGTTTTATCTTGGTTTCTGCTCCTGTAGCTGAAGTATAACGGGCAAATGATTGTCTGTTTCTCAGGCACAATAATCTTGTTGTGAGGCCAAATGGATTATCTACCCTGGTGAAAAGTGGGGTTCCAGAAGCGCTAAGGGCGGAGGTGTGGCAGTTGCTGGCAGGATGCCACGACAGCCAGGCAATGCTGGATAAATACAGAGTTCTCATCACTATGGTAAGTGATTATTTTCTTTTTCTTTTGATTAAAATGAATTCCGCTGAGCAGCAGGTTGTTTTTTGTTGGTTTTCTTTTTTTTGGTGGAAAAATAGCAAAGAAGTGAAACGGTTTGTGTTTTAAGCAACTGAAATTGTGATTAGGTGACTTTACCTCCTGCCATGGGTACCTGCTGAATGGCATTAACAATAGAAATTGCTGACCTATATCTGTAGTAATGCTTGACATTTAGCTTTCTATTCACTTGCTGTGATGATAATAAGCACATCGGTTTGTTGTTTCAGGTGTTTGTTGTTTTTTTCTTTTTTTATCAACTCAAGTTCATTGCTTTGTTTTTTTTCAACAGTTTCTGTTCTCTGTATGCCTTAATTTTCTATTTTTTAGTTTAAAAACAAACCCAAACAACCTCAAAAAGTTGGGAATTTCTTGTTTTGTTGTTTATTTTAAAATAGAATTTTAAAACTATTTTTACCTACCAGGAAACCAGTCTCTTTGCTTTATGGGCAATTGGAAAATCCTTTTGAGAATCTCTTCTGTATCCTAATGTCATCGGTACAGTCAGGAAATATTATAGGAAGTTGTCTGCATGGGTGTTCCAGACTGCTATAGCTGGGATTGAAAGATTGGGAACCACTGGGTAATAGTAGCAAAAATTCTGTGCAGGATCAGGAAGTAAACTCACCCCTTGGGGTTCTAAAATTCTTGCCGCTGCAGGGTAGTTATGGACTCTCAGGAAAACCAGCAGAAATGTTGCTGTTGTCACTGTTGTCTCAAAAATGATCATAACGGCAGAAATGGATTAAGATAATGTTATGTGTTGCTCACAGAAAGTGTTGGATTTGTTATCTAGGGAATGAATCATCTGTCCCTACAAAAGTTCTAGGGTAGATGTTGTTAGTGAAAGTTTCCTTTCATAATGCCATTTCTTTTTGATACTTTTGATACTTAATTGATTGATACTCTTAATTTGAACTACCTGCTATATTTGTGAAGTTTAAAAGCATCCCCAGAGTGAGAGCTGTACTCATGACTTCTTTTTCCTTTACCAATAAAGAAGGATGTTTTGGTAGTGTAAATTTTTCTTTTTGACGTTGTAGTTGGGCTATATTTTCTTCAGAAACCATTCACAGGACATCTGTCAGCTGTATGTTGCATCAAAACCACCTCCATTATTTTGCTCTTGCTTTCCAAAAGTGGGGAAGATGTTTGTTTCACAGCGGAGGAGGGAGTGGAAAACTTCTAAAATGCAAGCCTTAGCTTGACGCTAGGGCCTCATGCCTTAAAAATACCTTTCTACACTTGTCCTTTTCATGATGGAAATATTTCAGTGATGTATATTTTGGAAGATGATATTGCATACAGTATTTAATATGAAATATTATATACTGTTATGGATTAGAAAATTAATCCTACTCGAAACTAAAGCCTTTATTCAAACTCAGGGGTTTTTTTCTGAAGTAAATAACTTTTATTCTGAAATCACAATTTTTTTTCTATAGTCTGACTGTATATAACTGCTGGTGCTAACATCATTTGCATGAAAGGATTCATGAAAAGAAATGAGCAGGAAAGAATCTGCCAAACCAAAGCTAAAGCCTGTTTTTAGGAATAGTTAATATTGGATGCTCCAGAAAAACTTGTCAGCTAATTTTTTTTTTAATGAATTATTATCTGATATTTATGTCTGTGAACACAACTTCTTTCAGATTCATTTTGGTGTGTTAGTAAGCTATTTTGGAGAGACTGAGAGGCATGTATTTATTATTCTTTGAATCCTACTAAAATCTTTGCTGTAGTGTTATCTTACGTGCGTCAATAGTAATATGCATGTTAAACTTCAGAGTTACATGGGTACTAATGATTGTTCAGCAGAACTGATTTATTTTTTTCTCCATGGTTTGTATGCTACCATCCCAATATATCAACAACACATACTTTATTTTTTCCATAATTATGTATTCTTCCCATCAAATAGCTTTCATCTTGATTCTTTCAGTTTGTGCATATGTTTACACAGATTCATTGTCTCCTCCTATTTTGGTCATTCTGCTTAACATTTCTCTCTTCTTTAGGCTTGCTTCTGGAAGCTGGATATTTTTGTGGGTGTATTGACTGCTTTAGTAGTACATTCTGTGAGCACGTGCATTCCTGAGTGTGTGTCTAAAAGATGCTCCTAGGTGGTTAGAGGTGGCAGTATTCTGCACTTGCGGTCCTGAGAATAAAGTGTGTTGAGATTCAAGGAGTAGGAGGTGGTATTAACATCTGCAAACTATCTATTTACCTCCTCATACATGGTAAATGTCAAACTGCTCCCTGTTACTGCCTAGTTCCCTCCAACTTTTCATGGCACCGTGCTGCTCTACCTCCTGGCTCATGGTAACAGCTCTTTGACAAGAGCCTGCTCTCCCAACACCCCAGTCCTTTCCCCTTTCTGGCTATCCAGCCTTACCTGCACCATTTGGCTAAATTGCTAATTGCAGTACCTCAGTGAGAAAGAGGGTATCTGGAAATCACTAGAAAAATCTCTACATCCAGGGATTTGCAAGAAAATAGGTTTATATAGATGCAGTTGGCGTTGTTTGTCTGGTGATCAAAAGAACCGGGCTGAACTGTGTACTACAGAGTAGTGTTTGTGAGCACTTAGAAGTCAGATTTCTTGACTAAGCCTTGACTTTAAAAGCATCTTTGATTACTTTAGTTCTCATAATCAAATTTTTTCCTAAATAAAATTTCAGAGGGCTAACTTGAGGGAGAAATCTTGGAAACTGTCATTTTACTATCACAGCTGAAAAGATGAACCTGATTGCTGGAATTATTAGTATTGAATATATAATACCCATTATATGATTACCTTTTATGCAGGAGAAATCTGGTAAAAATTGGAAATTTACTACAGTGTTGCTGGTTAACTCTTGGTGAAACTGCTCACTCGTGGAGAACAAGAATTGCTGGTACACCAAAAACGTGTTTCTTGTGGTGAACTGAAAGCAGACTCTCAACATTCACATGTAGTTTAAAGACCATGATACAGACACATCTGTTGTTCTACTCCGGTTGCATGCAGTTGGTGCAGAAGTAGCATGCTAGATGGGCCAACTATCATACACCTTGCTTAACAGATCTGGTATGCATGTTATTCTAGGTACATATCCATCTTTAAACAGAGCTCTGAAATCTACCGCAGTATTTCTTAGTTAGAGGAATGTTTTGTTAAATGTGTTCTGTAGGAGAGAGTAATTTGGGGCTTGTTGTAGTGTTTCAGTTCAACACAGCACAATAAAATCTCTGTTTTATTTAGAAAAATCAATACTGTGTTTATTTTCTCCAAAAAGCATGTATTCCAGTCCTCCACACTGGAGGTCCACAGGCTGTCAAGAGTCATCTAGTGAACTGTGTTTCCTTTCCTGTATGCAAGCATTCACACACTGATATGTTTCCCATCTCAGCGTTCCAAGAGGGAAGGGAGAAAGAAATCCTTCTGCTCTCACAAATCCTTTCTTCCTGTCAAGCACTATCTTGCCGTATCTCACGTCTCCTGCTGGGTTCCAGCTTGGTGATTACCATGAGCCTCTCAGAAATTTTGACTGGAGCACAATAGTAGGTCTTGCATACAATTTTAGAGAGTAGGAGTTGTGATTTGGCAGCTGCTTCATTTCTGACATATATGTAAATCTGTACTGTATGACAATTAAAATCTGCCTTAGTTACCTTTCTGGCATGTGTGCCGTAGGCTTTTGACCCTGCATGTGCATTTGACACATGCATGCTGCATGTGACACAGTAAAAGAAAGGGGAAAATAAAAGATGCACCAGCAGAGATAAGTACATATTTTTATGTATTTTTAAGGAAAATGGAAATGAGAGTGAAATCTGCTTGTGTGATGCTAATGAAGGGGTAATACTGGTATGTGTATATAGAGCTTCTGTAAAAGTGTGTCAGATCCATTTGTTAAAAGAAGGTAAGTAGAAAACCACGCACAAGCTAGGGTCACTTCATTGATGGAATTTTTTCTCCTGCCTACTTGACATTATTTCATGTTCAGCTTCACTGGTTCCTCTCAAGGTGCTCAGATGAATTTTTGCCATGACAAGATACATTTTGAGCTCAGATAAACTGCCCGGTGGCAAGTCCAGCCTGGTAATTGTCTTCAGCAATAGTTACACTCTGCTTTGCCCCACGCTGCTGCCCTTACTCCACACTGTCCCTTTCAGAAGAGGTGTCAGGCACTGACACTGTGTAAATCATTAGAAATCTCCTGTCACTTGATGGCAGACATACAGAAGCTTTACTGTAAAATACTTGTTGCGTCTGAATTGGGACAGATCTTTTATTCATTATATCTTATGCTGCCTATTGTTAACCTGCTTTTGTGTTTTAGGTGGTTTCATCCTTGTATGTGTTCTTGCTGCTGAATTTCTAGGGTGAGACTTCTTTCCATCCTTTTCAGTGTTATGGACTGGGTGTCTGTTTTGCAGTGTTGTTATTGATTACTGTTGAAATCACCTGAAGTCCTTTTCTCTAAGTTTAGAAAGTAATACCTGTCAGGGTTGTATGTAGTTGCAGAAGTAAAATAACAAAAGCAGAAAAAGAAGGCTGTCATTCACATTCTGTAGTTTGAAAACTTTTGGATGGACCATTTTAAGGTAGGATTTATGATTGTTAAATGTATCATTGCTGTGTAAAAGACTTTCAGTTTACAATCTGATTTCAATTAAGAAATTAACTGTATGTATAAAGTTCATCTAACAGCTTATGAAAACTACTTTTAAATGATGCTGCTGCTCTGGTTTAAGAAAACAAAACTTGTTTTAAATTTATTTTTTTTTTAAAGTACAATCAGAAGAAAAAACAACTTGGTTTCAGAGAAAGTAGGTGTTGATAGTATTATGTTACTCAAAAACAATGGAAGTTTGCATATGAATGTGAATGCCCATTTTTGAAATGGCTGGTGGCTTTGAGTTGAGGGTCGTAAAGAAAGACTGAATGGCTCTCTTTCCAA